AACATTTCATCCAAAAATGGTACTATGGACAAAAAAACGATAGTACCAAAACGGCCGAAAATGTGGCAGAAAATTAACTGCATCCCTAGCTTGGTGCCAGTCTGTGTCCCCTCCAATCTCCACTGCCTCTGCTGACACAACATGCTGAGGGGGATGGTGCAGGAAGGAACGCTGTCAGCTGTCATAGGAGGCTGAGCTCTCCACCTGCACCTCCCCGCTTGGCCTCCTGTGACAGGCAAAGCAGTCAGCTGATAGCTGAGTGTTTAAAAATAACTGAAGACAAAGTAAGCTTACTGTGTCCCCAGTCATAAATGAATAGGAAGTGCTCTACACCACTTCCTGTTCACTCATGATTGTGGACATAGTAGCTCCTCAGTTTATGAATGGACAGAAGCACTCAGTATAGAGGCATCCTGTTCTTTCATAACAGAGGCTGCAGAGAAAGAGATTTAGGACGCTGTGTCTCTTTTTCTATTTTAAAAGTGTAATATCAGGGTTTAGACCCCTGATATTCCCCTGAAGCCCCTTTCTTGTAGAGTAAAATAAATAAATACATTAAAAAATATTTTAAAAATAATGAAAAAAATGTTAAAAGGTTGGAAAAAAAGTCAGTTTTGGTTTCGGTCTAAAAATGTAATTTTAGTAAATCCATAGTTTTAACTTGCTTTTTGCTCTGCCTTTTATGCTTTTTTTTTTACCAAACTTGACACATGCCAGATGCACCTTTCAGATTGATCCCTACAGTCTAAAACATTTACCTCTGATGAGAACTGTAAACTTTGTGCTGACAGACATATGCTGTGTAACACACAGTATCTATATTTACTGTAGAAAGCAGTCGTAACTCAAAACTGAGTTTCTGGTGACCTTTCATTGCTTGAACATTTACAGTTCTTATGGGAACACATTTCCTGCTGTTATGTTTAACATAAAACCCTTTCATTTTAGAATATTAGGAAGAATGAACCACAATAGCAGGTTGAAAAATGACATTGTTATATTAATGTTTATTATGTAGCTATACAACCTCAAACTGACACTAATTTACCATTGCCCTATTATTTCTGAATGTGAGCAATAGTTTCCGAACACTGATTATATATTTTTATACTAATTTTTGCAATGTTTGAATTATCTGGGATCGCAGGAAAGTACTAAATTAGGAATTCACCATATGTTAACCTGAACATTAAGTTCCACATTTACACTGCATTAAGTAATCTTGAATAAAGATTGCTCAAACTGTTTTTTTTGCTTTTCTTTAAAATAGACGTCAACCCAAAACTTTTTTACAGCTTATTTTTTCTTTTAATTTTGGAAAAAATGGAACATATTTGGAACCTCTTTCAAGTTTTAATTGATGCCTGCGTCCCTAACGGGGAAATGTTATCTAATTTCCTGTCCCAGGTGACAGCAGAACCTGGGACAGGAAGGGATGAAAAATCTTTTCATGATGTCACAGACTTACCTGACAGAGGTTCCAAACCTTCCCTACTGTATTAAAAAGTTTTTATTTTGTTGTCTATGCTTATTCATTCTTTGTGACTCAGGTGGCAGCATTCATAAGAAAACATGAGTGGACATCTTCTAATTTGGACACAAGCAGCACGCTTAACACAGTTTCTAACCCATACCAAGTCCACTTAAGAAAAGTTTTGGGATGACTTCAACTTAAAAACACAAACAATACCTAAAATGCATTTGGCAGTTAATGGGCATTATTCGCACAGCTAAAACCCAATATAAACTTGTTTGTTAGAAACGTATTAATGTTTGACAGTGTTTTAAACTGTTCTAATAAAGAATCTAGTGTAGAGTTCACATCAGTATCACAATATGGAGATCAATAAAATAATAATGTTTATTAGTTTTACCAATAGTGAAAGTAAATACTTTGAGAAAAGTTAATTTAGCCAAAAATATTCATCTTGAATCTGTATACCATAATCCAGTATTTCCTATACCGGCCTTATTGAAGAGCCATGGTTAACAGATCGATTTTCAGAATCAGAATCATGTGCTTATTTGAAACCACTATAACCACTACTATGTAAGTACAAGTATATTTGGCAAACAAATTGTTAGTGGTCCTTGAGGACTGGAGTTAGGGAATAAAGTTATAATCTGTCCTATATTATGGGTCTTAATGGTTTGTCTAGAAAACTTGCTATAGCCACCGTATTAGTAATTTATAAACCTCTATATCTTATTAAACTACGGTAAAAAGGAGGGATGCACCGATACTGGTTTTTCGGTATTGAGTATGAGTACCGATATTTTTTTTCCGGTACTCACCGATACTGAGTACCAGTGCTTTGTGCCCCGATTATCAGGTATTTAGCCTGGCTTCCTGACCAATAAGGAAGCCAGGAGGCGAGTCATAATATGCCGCCCGGCTTCATGATTGGTTAGGAAGCCAGGCTGCTTAGCAACACGTGAATCTGGCTTCCTAGCCAATCAGGAAGTCATAACCCACCACCCGGCTTCCTGATTGGAAAGAAAGCTGGCTCCATGCTCCCTTGGCACTTCCGGTCAGAGAGAGATCTCCCTCCGACCAGAAGTTCCAGTATCGGAGGTAATTATCAGAACATTTGGGGGCGAGTAAAGGTACTCGCCCAAATACTCGGTATCGGCACCGATACCAATACTAGTATCAGTACCGGTGCATCCTAGTAAAAAGTTAAAACTGAATAGTATAGGCCAATAAACCTGACTTATTTTAATAATCTAATAAGTATTTTCTGGTAAAACATACACAAATATATAGGGACAAATTTAGTAAGGAATTAGCATTGGTTAGGTTATGTCTAGCATAAATCAGTTTTTATAAAGAGGTAAGTTCAGGTTATGGGGCATTTATCTTAACTAGTCTATACTAAAGCTTCAGCCTTGTTCTGTTTTTGCATTTGGGGTATGCCCTTCTATCTTTGTATGCTTTTATATGATCTGTACCTGCTTTGTTTCTGATGTCTGTATGTGTATCCTTTTGCTTCAGGTTATGCTTTGGTCTGTTCAAGTCTGTCTATTGGGTACTGGCACCCTTTTTCTGTCTGTGTGTCTGATGTTGTCTAGCTAAGCAATCTTGTTGGTCACATGCTGCGAGTTTATCTGTACCTTACAATGGCCCTACTGAATACCAAGCATTCCTGGCCTCTGCACTCAGATAAGAGAATTTACCATGATATGGCAATATGGTAGGCTCCTGTTTGTTTGTATGTTTTGAACCTGTACCTGCTCATCTGGGGTTCAGCACTGTGCTCACGTTTCTATCCTTGCTTTACCCTGTATTTCTACTAAGTTCCTGTCATCGGGTTCTGTCTCTACAGATGTTCTAATAGATAGCTATGGCCAGCATATCCCTACTAGGAACGGGGTATCAGATAGCAACCACTCCTCGAGTCCCCAGTTTTAGAGTAAGGCGAAGAGGAGGTTGCAACACATCACACCCCGTATACGGAAGGCAAATTATATACTAGGTGTAGTATAGTGGACGTTACTTCCTTAGAATGCCCCTAGAGGACAGCAACAGCTGAGTTTAGTATTGGCAATCAATGAGGCAGCTGTGAATGTGGTTACTGTTATTATCATGACATGAGCATTTACAGTTTGTCACACACTTCAATTGGAAGTAGCACGTAAGGGTAAGTAATAGCATATATGGTTGGTCACACACTTCAATTGGAAGTAGCACATCAGGGTAAGTAGTTTGCAATGATACTAGTAGTTACTAGTCACAGGTAGACTTTTGGAATACAGCTGACACAGGAGTGCTGGGACTATCTAGATGCATAGCCCAGGGTACTTGCGGTTTCTATCTGCAGGCATCCAGTTGTAGTCTGTGGGTCCGGTTCGTTTAGAGGCAAGTGGGGCGCTGAGTTGATCAGCACCCTACCACAATCAACAGAAAGACGCCGATCAACTACCGAACCTCGGCTTTATGCCGAGTGCTGCGTCTGTAGGGGCGGAGTCCCGTGGTGCTCCTGACGTGGACGCCTCTGGAGGGAGAGACGGAGGAGGCCCGTGATGCGCCTGCGCGAGACGGCGACGGACAGCGCCGCCAGACGTCACCACCACACGTCAGTGAGCTGGGGATTCTGACCCGCGGCGCGCCTGCGCAGGACAGCGACGGTCATTGGCACCAGGTCCCTGCAGGGTTCGTCTGTTACAGATATATACTTAGAAGATGGGAAATGTAGTTCTATTCATATGCATTATAAGTAATCAATGGTAAATCCAACAAACTATCTTTTTCCATTAAAGTTGCTCCAATACCAGCATATTTAAGGTACACCTAATTTGACCTTGTTTATGAAGAGTACCTTATACTCAAGGAGACTTGGTTTGATGGGTTCATGAACTCTTGAATCCTGATCTTAATCTTGACAATGACTCTAGCTGCTATATTTGTGGACTTTATTGCTTGTTAACAGCCACCTGTAGCTCAAGCTTCTGAAAGTGTTCCTGGTCCTGTTTCTTCTAACACTGCCCAATACTCCCATGCTGTTGCCAATGGCAACAGTCTCCTCAGCTTGTGCTCTGTGTATTCTGTTTCTGACCATCCTGGTAAGTTTCAGCACCACCTGTCACCTGACATTTTGCCAATGGCAACTGTCTATGAATCTGCAAATCAAGACTGCAATTGCTTCTTTCCCTATTCTCTTGTGGAAATTCCAGCTGTTCAAGTTAGTACTCAAGACCATTAGTATGTAGGTATTTTACACAATTCCACAATCCCCTGCATTTTCAAAGAGTTACCCTTGAGGATCTGCACCCAAAAATGAATTAGTGATGTGTACCTGCATCTGCGGCTTGAGTGCAAAAAAGAAAGGAAGCAAAGGGGAGCAAGCTGGGCAGTCATGGTGCACAGACCTCGCAAGCAAAAAAGGTAAGTATCAAATAAATGGAAAATAAGAAATTCTAAACACATCTAGGACAACTTCTCTAAAAGGATAGCAAAAGTTTATTCAAGGGTTTAATTACACTTAATTTGTAAACATTACCTGGAGTACTAAGGAGACCCAAAGGCAAAACACCATGAAGCCATCAAAAACACACCAACGGTCCTTTACATAGGAAGTGTCTCCCTGAAAAAAACAAAAACGAATCAGACAATTCATATATTCTTGATGTAGTAAAATAATACAGGTAACATTAAATTGCCATCCGTGTCTTAGTGACAACACAAGCAATGAGCGAGGGAGGGGTCCCCCTAACCCTCCTTTATTTTGTAAAGCACCGCACAAACTGTTGGAGCAATATAAATCCTGTATAATAACACACAGTTCTGTGTTTTGCCTGGTCAAAAGCAAGCTGTAGGTCTGCTTTAATTTTAAAGACTGTCATAGATTGAGACTACTTCAGAAATCTAAAACAGAACTGTTTATAGCACCACCACCTTTCTCTTGACGGTTGCAGGTCTTTCAAATACATTTTAAACGTTGTGAGCCTGGTGGATATTATTTGTGATCTTGTAAAAGCACTTTATTAATGGTATATACTTGTCGTTTACAGGTGCACACATAAAATCAGGATTGCTTTGTGTCTGCAAGAAAAATAAACGTGCCTGTTGCAAAATAAGAAGAATGTTCTGTGTATGAAAGAATTCACAATGGAAATGTTAGTAAACAAAATGTTTTAGAGCTGTCACCCTGGGTTTTGCATTGTGTACAGTATACATTTTTACATGAAAATCAATCTCTACACTGAGAATCAAACCATCAACTCTGTCTAAAACGCAGTTCGTGCATTACAAGTGACAGCTTGAGGCAGTTACCATGTAAATACAAATAAACACTTTTGGAAACTTTAAACAGCTTATTTTATACAATCAAATGCTTCTGCACTGCACTGTTTGAATTACATTTTCCATCAACTTCTGAATTCAAGCTACAGATACATTCTGGGGATTATTTAAATTGCCATTTATTTAAAATAATTACAAATTAAAGTGATACTACACTCAGGAGTTACATCTTAAAAACATTTTTAAGTATTTTACCCATTAACAAAAATCTGGTTTATTTGTGTATCACTTGGCTGTAAATCCTCAAATCATCTCTGAATTGGTGCTGATACTGTCCTTCCTTCTGGAGGGTGGTTACTTTTGTTCCCCATTAAGTAAAGTAGCCACCACTTCAAGCCCGTGATAGACTACAATCTCAATAAAAATTAGTAAACTAAAGAGATTGTAGTCCATTAGAGGAGTGAGCTTGGAGCGGTAGCTACTTTACAACACACGGGGACCATGCAGAACAAAAATAGCCACCCTACAGAAGGAAGGACAGTGTCAGCACCAATACAGAGATGGTTTGAGGATCTACAGCCGAGTGATACACAAATAAGATACATTTTTGTCAATAGTTAAGCTACTTTAGTACAGTGGCAAAAAATGTCAGCGGTTACTGGTATTTCAAAACCCTGAATAGCTGCTCACGTACAGTGTACGTGAGCAGTCATTTGGGCACTTCACGATGGAGACGTACAGCGTACGTATCCAGTCGTGAAGGGGTTAAAGTAGTCTCACTTTGTAATAATTTTCACAGCTCAGTCACCTAACTCCCACAGTGTATGTTGCTTTTTATCCCATGCTTCTGTGTGGAGCAGAAACTGAGATACAGTTCACTACTCTTTATTCATGACCACTTCACTACCGGCCATTTCTTTAAAGTAGTATAAAACTCTCAAAGTTTTTATCAATACTGTTTCCATATGAAACAAATATGCATTGCCCAGCAAAGTATTTATTTTAATTTTTACCCAAACTCTTACAATCATCATGTTTCTGGACAGCTGGCTCTAACTCTCTCAGCTCAGCTTCCTTGAACTTTCTGTCCAGTACAAGATCACAAGAGGCAGAATAGTCTCCAGCAGCTGTCCATCTTCTAGTTTGGAGAAGGGAGGAAGGAGGAGAAGGGGAGTGACTTGCCTTGCTGTGTCTGTGTGTTTGTGGAGGCACACATAGCTTACTAGCACACACAAGGGTGGCTCCACAGGACCCTGCAAGGGACATGTGCTACCCTAAAACAGGATATCAGGGCCAGTGCTTGGGAGACCAGCTGATTCTGCAGGAAGCAACAATTTTCACACCTCAAGGAACAGCGTCCATTGTAAGCAATATAATCAACATCTGAAAGCCTAAAAGCCTTTTGACTTTAATATCACTTTATGGAATGGTAAGCTGCAATATATTACATTTTTATTCTTGGATTTAGATACATTTTACCTGTGCAGTTGAGCTGAGTAAATAAAGGTTGACTAAATTATTTAGGATGGACCCGAATATTACATTTAGTTCCAAACCAACGAAAACCTTAGGGGCTGTGTGCATGAGCACTATTTATATGCCAGTGTTGTACTGCAGAGTGAAGAGAACCCAGCATACAGCATACAAGATTTCTTGAATTTGTTGGAGTATGCATACGAAAGCATACACAGGCTTTTTCAGCCAAAAAAACTTTGAGAGTTTTATACTACTTTAAAGAAATGGCCGGTAGTGAAGTGGTCATGAATAAAGAGTAGTGAACTGTATCTCAGTTTCTGCTCCACAAGTCACAATCAAACACATCACTTGCAAATGATTTACAGCAAGGGGTAATCAGTCCAATCTGTTGAGCCAGCTAAATTCATTTAATGGTACAGAGAATAGAAAAGAGTCCTTACTACAGCACATAGTAGTCAATAAATTCACCAGAGTCATGACCCTCTGTTTTAAGACATCAATGGGTGTAGACTTTATGTACAATTTAAATATATATATAGCAATGAGATAACTCTATGTGCACTCAGATGTATTATGCGCTATCCTTCTTTAAAAAAAAAACAAGTAGAGAAGGAGAAGTAGGAGAAGGACAGACAGTATAGTAGATTATAAAGAACTATTGTTTTCTATGCAACATCTCACAGTTTCTCTCAATCGTTATAGCAAGCTGTGTGTGCAGCACTAGGAAATCATCATTCCATTTGCTTAGGAAATTATCGTTTCCTATGTCGCCTTAGGCTAGGTTCACACCTGGGCAGTTCGTGACTGCGCGGCAATCGTGCACAAAACCGCGCGGATTGCCGGGCGGTCATGGAGTTGCCCACCACAGCCGATCGCACTGGCAGTGCCATTATATCTAATGAAAAAATAAAATAAACAAGGATGTAACCCAACTGAAAGCAATGGGGTCGCGCAGCAACAGCTGTGTGCACAAGCACACGATCGCACAGTCCCAGGAAGCGCGCCCCGTGTATCGCTCAGGTCTGAACCTAGCCTGAATCTACTGTCTCTTTTCTATTTTACATCAATAGAAAAATTTACAAAGGACGATGGTAGAGAAAACTGGCCATGTGCATAGAGGTTTAAAGTTTATGTAAGCCCAGTTACTAAAATCTCATATAATCTTTAACATGTTAATATCATTTAAAAATCTTTTAAAATCTGCATCTTTCATTAAAATAAAAACTGACCATATTCAGGCACATCTTGTTGTAGGGTAGATATGTTCTGCCCCTGTCTCTCAATTGCACTCCTTCATTGTCACCCTGTCACACAGCCTCCAGTAGAGATCTAAAATTGGCCTTTTCAACACACATTGTGTAGGTATGGTTTGCTGTTGTCACCATTCAGAAACCTGCCCTTAGAAATGCCGTACAGCTATTGCTGGAGACAAAAAGCAACTACAAAGAGGCTGCAGGAGATCGGCAGCATTGAGAGGCAACACAGGTTTAATAAAAGGGAAAGGTTTAAGAAAACCGCTGATCACACAGTTCTTGGCTTCTCCCTGCAAAGAGCAGTGACTGTCAGATACTACTCCCTCTTTCGCTATTCCTCCTGCACTCATTTGGGGGAAAAACATGAGGGGGTGGTCACAGCTGGCTCTGGAAAGGCAGGGCCAGCTGTCAATCAGGCAGCGTGGTGGACCCCATCAATATTGTGCTAAGTTTGGGTCAGAGGAGCAGATATTAGTAAATACACTCCTGTGACCCAAAAGAGTACTCAAGCCACAAAAAAAGGTTTGGTTTTAGTTCTCTTTTAACAAACTACATATTCCATTTATATCTACTGAACATGACAATTCCAGTTTTGTCTACAACCCCAACCACCCCCCACCCCCAGGTGAATTCTATGCATTGCAAAGATTTTAGCAAACTCGATTGCAGACTATTAACTTTATCTGTTTTGAAAACAGATAATTGATGTTTGCCTTAGCATGTCCTTTTATAAACGGAATGGGGAAATGGAAGGGTCTGCCTTTATTACTGTGACCTACATTATCCCAGGGTTGTAATAAAACTAGCACTATATGCATCTTTTGAGATAGACAAAGACTAAGAAAGTATCGAACATGAAACTCCTACAGCAGGGAATGTCTCTGATCTGACTTCCATGTATGCAAAGTTCTAGGGAAAGCAAAAAAAAAAAACCCAGAATAAATGAGAGAGACAAGAACTATTTACAGAACAATTCTAGTTAACCATTTTGCAAGGAAGCAATATTTGATAAAATAAAAGTCAATAAAAAAATATAATAATCCAGAAGCAGCAGGTTAAAATGCAGAGGTCAGAGAATGACTTGTGTAGCAGTAATAATATTAATTATTCTTTTGATCAATGTACCTCTGATTCTGTGCACCTACCACTATCCCTTCAGAATCTTAGCAAGTATTACTTGTTTTATTGCTGTCATATGAGCATACATTAGTATGTTTTAAAGTGATAAACCTACACCAATTTTTATATATTCATAAAAACACCGACTCACCACTTTCCATATGACATCCAATATGGTGGCATGCATACCTTTCAACTTAATGGCAACAGCTTTGAAAAAGAAAAGGTGATTCTGCATACCAGTTTCTCAAAAAAAACACCAATTTTCACTCATCACATGGCTAAGTAAATAAAGGACACTGACAATTTAGTTGGAAAATAAATATTTCAAAAGACCAGCTGTTATAGCTATTGTTGTTAAACAAAAACACCAAATGAAGTTTGATATAAATATGAATTAAGTTGATTGCTAAGTATTTTTGTGCTGATAATGGCAAAGTAAACACGGGAGTCATTTCCTGTAATTTACATAAAAAATGCTTCTAATGCTGTA